ACCATGAGAATGATGAGGAGTACGCACATTTGTCTAGTTTTTGTACTTGCGGGTGGCGAATCGTACTTGAGGCTTCATTTATTGCTGTGTTTCGGTTTTGTTTTGAAAGAAAGATTCAACCTTTTTGAACTTCGTGACCCGATTTGGAAAGGTAATTTTAAAAAAAATAGGGTGGTGAAGCACATTCGCTGAACATTTGCTGATTTTTGTTTCGTAAGAAAACAGCTTCAAGCCACACGAACACACACGGAGCCAAATGCAGGCCAGAAGTACGAAGTTTAGACAAATGTGTGTACTACCCATCATTCTCATGCTTACTGAAGCGCCGTGCGTTGCATCTCCCATAGACACTAGCGTCAGAGTTCCCTCTAGTGTATATTAAGAAACTCTATGGGTAGAGAGTCCTCTTCGGACATTGGGGATGGTGAAGGTTCCGGAACCGGGAGGTAAATAGCGGGGGGAAGGATGTCTGCACCAGACTCTGAGGCGTGCAGCCAGGTAGCCCTCGTAGAGTCATGTAGGGCCACGGTGTCGCGTGCCGTCGATGTCATGGAAGACGTGCAGGTGGCAGGCACGTGCGACGAAGCTGCGCACAGGGGCTCTGAGAGAATGTACCTCTCGGCGAGGAGGTAAGACGCAGTGGGGGCATCTTCTACCTTGTGGTCAGGTGCAGGAGTGGATGTTTCTGCGACCAGATCAGGGGTAGAAGTAGTCGAAGCCGGGGTACCGAGGTAGCGGCCAATGGAGGGCTGTGAACCGGTTCATACCTTGCTCTGCGACACCTGGGACACCTGTCAGGTGCGGGTAATTGGAAGCGGACGGTACGTGTGGCCGTTGTGGGCGAGCACTGCAGTGCAGAGGGCATCATAAGGGCATTGAGAAGAATGGCGTGCATCAGCGGCTGGTCTGTGCTGCCATTCACCGCAAGAACGGCGTCGAGCTGCATAAACCATACTTTGGGGTAGGTCGATTGGAACGGCGGCAATGGCGGGAAGAGTGGCGGAAACATGGCAGCCGATGGCACGTCGAAGGGTGCGTTCTCAGGCTCACCAATGTAGCGAGAGAGGAAGACAAGGCGGCGGCCAACGTGGTCGTGTCAAACTCTCTGCTGTATTCGATTGCCGAAGTGGAGCGGCGGGTGCCATGTCAAAACCGCCAGGCGTGGAGCTTGTTCTAATCCTCGCGCAGCTCGAGCTAGCATCAGCTGCGCGAGAGGTGCAGTGCAGTGATTGAGAAATGATGATGATCATGATCATGCCTACACACCTGTTTCCTTTGGTCAAGTAGGAATGGGTCAGGAATGGGTCAGGGAATGGGTCAAGTAGGTCGAGGCCCACACGGAAGAATTCTTCTGTTGGGACCTCAATTGGCTGAACGGAACCAGCAGGAGGCAAGGCAGGCGTCTTTTGCCACTAACACAGGTCGCAAGAAGCGACTAGTGTCGCACAGAGTGATAGAGACCTGGACAGAAGAAGCGGCACCCTACGCGGTCATAGGAGTTGCTGCAGGTGGCTTTCGAAAGTTGCCAAAAACACGATTACATCATGTAGATAAAAGAGACACATTGACCGCTTTAAGCGCTACCTAGTTTCCGGAAGTGAAGTGGCCTGTAGATGGGGACAAAGAGTGGTGCATGAGCAGTTGATTGACTGATTGATATGTAAAGTTTAACGTCCCAAAACCACCATATGATTATGAGAGACGCCGTAGTGGAAGGCTCCGGAAATTTCGACCATCCGGGGTTATTTAACGTGCACCCAAATTTGAGCACACGGGGTGGTTAAGCGGTGAACGTGTCAGATGACCTGGAGAAGACGGGGAGTGGCAAGATCTTGGCGGGAAATTGCCGACGATAATGCTCTGGTTGGGCGTGTAGGGCAAGTATGATCGTCGAGCAGCAGGTGGTTGCGACTGGCATAACCGTTGACGCTTAGTTTGACTAGTCGCTGACTAAGACATTGGCGGTCGGTTTGCCACGGTGGCGGCAGGCACATGACGTTTACTGCGAAGTTCCATCGTGGTACCAAGCATCTCCACCAAATGTTGCGAGATGAGTGCAGAAGCACACGATTTCATAGTTGGTATATTGACAGTAATTTTAGCATTTTTCCAAAGGGTGACGGGTCACGTGTATTTCTTCCTATCTGAGCGAGCGTTTTCGTTCTCTACCTTACAACAATATTGCAATGCCCCTAAAAAATCAGGTATGCGAAGTTGTCTAATGCAAATTCAAAATAGCAATCAAAAACTACGCTAAAGGTACGATTCCCTTGGAAGCCTTGGCCATTTTGGCAAAAGCGGGCAGATCCCCAAATCTGAGCTCGACCACCCTTAGTAGTTCACTACTCACATCACCACAGAACGTGACATCCTCCCGAATAAAAACGAGACTACACACCTGACGGCCTGAGACATGCTGCGCTGAAGACAAACAAGCCTCTCATACAATAAGGAACATACATCATTTATAAGGAAAGGATCACTAGCTCTAATGAAAGTAAAAACAAAAGCATATAATAATACAAGAAGGATATTCCCACCGCTTAGTTGCAAACTAAACAGCAGACAGGCCATTTTCTGGGGACAGCTCTAGATGAACAACTTCACTAACCCAGTCCGTCTAAGATGGATATATTTGGACAACCATCAGGATGACACGTGAAAGTCATACCAGAAAGGACGTGCAACACTTTAGCACATGTTATAGGGTTGTAGTTATGTTGCCAGAATGCTTGCAGTTATTCTGGAGACCCTTTCATTGAGGTTGGCTACTGCTCTGCACATCTCAAACTTTGGCGTCTAAATGTGAGCAGTCCAGCAAGCTCACGAGGCGGCTTTGAGGCAAGGCTTTGACGTTTCCCCGTGCGAGGCCAAGCCGACATTGCATTAAACCTTGATAGACATTCAATAAAGTTGTATGCTTTGAACCATAAAGTGAGAGAAAGAGGCAACATCTGAATCTCGAGCTTGTGCCCCATAGCTAAAATGTCTCGGCCTGAAATAAAATTAGGGAAACAACAAATTCAACAATGAAGAGGAGGCTGTCACTCAATGCAAGCATACATGCACCTGCAGGCATCATATGAGGTCTGTTAGAAAAGTATCCGGCCTTCGGTGGAAGAGAAAAACGGACATTATTGGAGCGTTGTAAACCTAAACACCCTCATAATAGGCCCTTGAGAATCTACAGACTTCTCTTGCCGGTGCTGCCATTGTTGGAAGCATTCTAGCACTGCTACAGTCGCTCCCTCATTTTTCTTGCAATGTAAAACCAATGCGAGCACTGCGCCTCACTCAAACACTGCATCTCAGCGACTGACGAAATTGCCAGGCGGGAAAAAATTCACACGTGCACACGAAGGTTCAAAGTCGGCTAATGCAAGCGCGCTTATTACAAATCCATTAAGTGCTTGCAAAAAAAAACGAGTCGGATACTTTTCCAAAAGGCCTCGTACATATTCCACTGGCCTTATGTGAGACAGCGAGGCAATGTATTGGCAAAAGCGAGTGGCAAACAGGAGGCACTATCTGTATAGCTTGTTGAACAGCTAACAGCAAAGCATCACCAAGAGCAACTGTTGTAGTTTTGTACAACCATAAAATTGTTCATAAAATATACCTAAACCTCCATGTAATAAAGTAAGAAACATCAGAGATACAAATCATCGTATTGAAGGTTCTTCGCATAAGAGTTGGAACTTTGATGGCGAAACCCGAGATGCCCGTGTATTTAGATTTAAGTGCATGTTTGAGATCACCACCAGGAGAGAATTTCCGGAGCTCTCAACTACGGCGTCCCCCACAATCATATTGTGGTTTCGGGACATAAAAACTCTACAAATATTATTACATTACCCCCACCTACCTTCCTCTGCAGTGCTATTCGAGCGATTTTATGACTTCTGTATTAGATTACTACACTGCTATTTTTCTACTTCAACTCTTTCCGAAATTTAGAAGAATGTATTCCCCCCGACTGTAGTGGCTGGTCTCTGTTGCACAAAAGATGACTTGACAAATGCTAAAACTACATGTTTTGAACACTGGCACTAGCAGATGTTTTAGTGTATTGCCTTCCTTTATTGATTTTTTTATAAAGCGCATGGACATTCAGGTGCTAAATAAAAAATGAAACTTCAACCTCAATTTTCTCCACGAATAATTCATTTCTAACTGTGAAACAAGGGGTTAGAGTTCCCAGAGTGCAGTTTGTCAATCTAAAACCAAGCCATTGTTTCTCTTTAATGTTCATTCCAAGGAGCCATGGCAAGCAATTTTCGTAATCTGTATTATAAAGTTGGTCCTTTGCTATTGAGAAATAAACTGGTGAAATTTAAGCACATTTGGTTGAACACCTAATTTACAATGAGGATTTTTATCAACATGCATGTGGCCCGGTAGCCTCACAACAGTATTTGTGAACCATGACATAATAAGCCACTTGCTTTGTGAGCGTCTCTACTCCGTCCAACAACTGTTTCATGGCCAGTTGCGGTACATTGTAGCTACTTCAACTTTTGTATGCCTTGGAATTGAAAAACTGAAGAATTTGCCGTGGCTGAAGTTCGGGAGAAGAGAGATCTCCTGCATGAAACACATGACGTCCCACACCCCATGGCAACATAACGGTAGCTGGCAGTGAGCAAAGTTTATAGCCGGAGACTTCTATAGCCGACTTAGCAATTAGATATTATTTTTTAATGTCTGTTTTTCATACATTTACAGGCACAATAGACGCTCTACAATTTTTAGATGAGAACAGCAGTACGGAGGGTGACCCTGTCATGGCCCCTAATAAGTACTTAGTTATGTCGGACTCAGTTACATGGAGGTTCAAACGGATACATTACTTATTTATGAATGACTATGATTTCAAGCTGCGTTGTTGATAGCCCTTGTTGTGCCAGCGCTCCTCAGCCTGCACCTCTAGCTCCTGCCGCCTTTGCTGAAGCTCAAGCTTCTTTAGCTTGAATTTCGCCTCCTGCTTCACCTACCTCAGTTCAAGCTTCATTTCTTTCAGCTTCATTTCCTGTTCATGGCGCTTTATCTCGAATCGCAGCCGGTCCTCTCCAAGTTGAAGGTGGCGGTTCTCGATTGCAATGTTCTGATAACAACGGGCCTCAATGAGGGCATATGTTGCCTCAGCGTGCCACTGTGGACCTGCAGAAATTTACAAGGAACAGTTGACTGTCTTAGGTTCAAATGGATGAGCAAGTGCAACAGTTTACAAAGCACCATGATATTCTACTGATCACACATAGTTCTTTTAACACAGTAGGCTCTCAGTAAACGCAAATATATTAAATGAAATTGTTGCTTAAATGAAACAACTTCCTTCAGCACGGTTGCTTTCGTACTCCACTTCATTCTCCACTTCATTCTCAACTTTTTTTATCTCGGAACTACTGTTAAATAGAAAACATCTTCTAGTTTCTTCATATTTCATTTCACGAGAGTCTACTGTAGAGTACTATTCGAAAACACTTGATTTATAAACACAGGCAGGTAAATACTGCAATAATAGTCAAGCTGTCTCTGCACACACAGAATTACTTGCAACGAAATGTTGCGAATACTTAAAAGAGTACTGGCAGAAATTTTATAAGTTGTTTCTATGCATCATATGAAAGGTGAAGTCTTCAAAACCAAGATAATTCAATTATACACTTGACTACGCTTTAAAAAGCAAATGCAACACGTTTCTAAAAAGCTGGTTTTGTTTCATATACTGTATACTGACGTCAAGACACAGTGTAGCCACATGAGTTGGCGACATGCTCACGCTAGATATGGTGATATGGTGACATTACACGGACACTCCATCATCTATTGCTACACACATGTGGGTCAAAGAAGGACCAAGTGTTGTTTTGGCTAGCATCCACTAGCTGCATACTTGTTGTAGCACCCGATAGTGAACGAATCTATTGAACTTGTATCTATTGTGGCCTATTTTCCTACAAAAAGTTTATACAGGGCGAAATGTTGCTGTCATGACAACAAATCGCAATAAAAATATTTTCTTGCCTTGTGATCAATTTAGACGATATTGGAATGCACACACAATGACAGCATTCATGTTTTATTTTACTCTATTGAAAGGTATGATGAACTACTGCAATCGAACAGCGAGGAGAAGTGACAGAAAAAGCAACATGCAAGCAGCAATTTTGTATGCTCTGGTATCTGACATCGCATGTGTTCATTCGGGTGTGTGAAGTTTTAATTGATATGTGGGGTTTAACAACCCAAAACCACCATATGATTATGAGAGACGCCATGGTGGAGGGCTCCGGAAATTTCGACTACCTGGGGTTCTTTACCATGCTCAGGTGTGTAAAGTCACCAGAATTGATACTGTAGCCTGACTCATGCATGAACCATTCAAATCTTAGCAGCACTTCCGGACCTTTATACTCGCTCAGAGACATGCCCGTACACAGGATATTTGTATAAGAGAGTAAACCCAGCTTTGTAAATCAGTGTTGGTGCACATACAACTGCCTACATGTATACATTTCTGATTGGAGGGGCTCGGGGGTGCACTGGTGTTGACGTGCGAGTCGCAGCAAGCAAAAGGTGAGCACGGGCTACTTTGTGCTCTGCGCTGCTGCGAATCAACTGGCAACTCTGAAAGGGCAATCACTAACTGAGTCATGCGAATTTATGCAGTACACTTAAACCCCCCCCCCTTTTAAGTGGCTGATTCTGTCCGATTTCTCATACAGTAAAAGCTTGTTAAGTCAAACAGCACAGGACCAAAAAAAATGGTTCAGTTATTTAATGTTGAATTACCAAAAGTATCAAGAAAACGAAGAAATGCCTGTTATACCCCTATCACACCTGGCAACGTAAGTGCACTTCGAGCAAGCACACTTAGCCGCGAGTGTCATTTGCGCGCTGTCACACGAGCAAGTTTAGTGTCACTCGCCGCAAAACACATTTGCCGACAAACGCTTTCCCTAACCTCACTTCGCTTTGACCAAGTTTGTAGCCTCGGTCGAAGTAGCTTGCACAGAAATACGCTGTTGCCTAAAGCGGTACTGATACTATTTTTAAACTATTGTTTTCATTATAAGAAATTTCGCTATATACTAAAACAAGTCATAAATCAACAAATCTCGCTACTCTCTCCCTCAGGCAGTTTGCGGCCACGTCCGCTGCAGGAATGCAGCAGCACATGCTGTGCAATACTGCACGTCCATCGAGTAGTTTACTTCCATACACACTTGCACATGTGTAGGCGAGTCATTCTCTAGTCGTTTATGATGGCGTGTGCCACTGGTGCTAGTTCAACGAAGACAATGTGGTCCAACGATGAGACACGGGTGCAAAAGTAACAACTATATATTGGGCTACAAACCCAACGATTGCCACTGCAATCATAAACGAAGATGAAGTACACTTCGCTTCCTCGTGTAGCAGCAAACTGCCAAAATAACACTTGATGAGCGTAGGTACACTCGCTAAAGTGCACTTAAGTTGCCACGTGTGACAGGGGTATTACATCAATATGCATTCGTTATTCTGATAAATATCTAACGATTTTTGTGATTTTGTGACTTTGTGGGTAATGCAATCACGGCGCCGGACTTGCGAGTTAATTAAGCCTGAAGGACGCTCGTCCTCTATTTCTTATTATGTACAGCCATTATTACCATGCGCACATGACGCTAGTTGTTTCAAAGGTAAAGTTACCAACAACTGATAGTTCCTAACGATGTAGCAAATGTGTGTCATGCCAGCAGACTGACTATGGCTGAGTTTCTCATCTTCAATTACTTTTGCCATATTTGATTTTTGTGACATTGCATGTGCTGCTGCATCAAGTTAAAATGAAGTTGCTGAGTGTTGAGTTTGCAAGTAAACAAGATGAATAACTGACATAGATAACTATGCAGACAGCACTGGCTTATTTCGGTCGCCTGCAAATGCTGTTTTCGTACCTTCGTGCCTGGTATCTGAAGCAACGCCTGTGGCACCTCATGCTTGGCGGGCTTTGCGAATCATTCATATTACCCACGTTGGAACCAAATGTAACCGAATCGACACGTTTGATGGCAATGAACTATACAAATGCTGGCCGGGGCCAGGAAGACTCCCGAGCCATTCAATTTTCTTAATTCTTATAGGTCAAATTAACGAGCTTGTTCTGTATTACTCATGAAGCTCCATGGACTTGTGCTAAAAAATCATGCACAAATTTCCGAAAATATTCTCAAAACAAAGATGACCTACTCTATGTCTATGGCTCTTTGAAGTTAATGCAAATGCTCTTTGGCTACACACATGATATATTTTCTGACAGCAAAGCAAAGGTGATGACATTTTTATTAACAATTTAGTTCTGGAATATTTACTGGAATAGTTCAATAGTCTCCTAGTGCAGCAAATGCTTCATATCAATCGTAATATGCAACACTTCACTGCTCTAAAAAGTAGCACCCTTTATTGCCACCTTGACTTCACTGCAAGTTCACATCATTGCAACCGACTGGAAGATGATCACGTGTGCTCAAACATTTTTCACCGTGAGAGTGGCCACATGTCCCTGAGAGTGTGGAACTATTGAAGGCCACAACAGCACCCAGTCGATGGCACACCCAAGCACATGCCACGTCATAAGTTTGCCCAACATAAAAAGGACACATGAGACACTAGTTTGCCCATGTCTCCTTTTCTGTATGCGATAAAGCCATATACTCGGAGATTTTGGGGGACAGAGTAGTAAGCTCTCTCAAAAAAAGATTTACTAGACAATTAAAGTGTTTTTTTACTCTTGCCTTCAATAGCAAGCATCTTTGTTTACAATTGTGTACCTGCATTTTGAGTGATACTCTTGTTTTCCACTAGGCAAAATACAAGTTAGACTGATATGAAGAAGCTTTCTTTATTTTGTTACACACCTCGCAGAGACACACGAGTGTTGGCCACCCGTCTGGTTTCACCAGTGTGGGCATCAGGGGGCTCCCACGCACAGTTGCATTTCCTGGTAGTCCAAGAGATCACAAGTAAACAAGTTCAGAAGGAGGCTGCTACTCGAGTCCTAATGCATATAAAGCAGACTTATTCTCAGGGAGACAAAGAAAAGCAGCAAGGGCAACTAAAAGAAATGAATCCTTGATGAAACTATGCAACTAGTTTTCGAACATACTGAAACTACTTGCACTTATTAGGTACTTATTCTCTTATCAATTTATTATTGCATAGGGCAAAAATACTGTACTGAAAAAGAAAACAATGTTCTTCGCTGAGCTTATAATAATTTAAAAGAGAACTTGGTGCAAATGTTAGCAACAGCTGAAATCTGACCCTGTATTTTTTTCATAGCACGAAATAAAATTATTAAGCCATCTTGAATGACTTCCTACACTCAATAGCTGCACCTAAAGTTGCTTTTATTGATGTTGAAAGCATTGATGACAACAATCATTTCAATCTGTAGGCACGCACCAACAAAACTAGGGATCACAAAGTGCAGCAGCAACATCTGAAGAACTTGATGTTAGGGTTTGAGCAAGGCTGGGTGCAGCAGTTGCGATGCGGTCAGGTGCAGGGCATGAGGCTGTCGGGTTGCCTTCAAGTTCTGTAGATCACAAGTGAACCAACATAAGAGCTGTGCTGTGTGCTTTGAGCTTGAACCAAGCTTTCCTTTCCAATACACATCGGCAATAACTCCTCTCATGCAGCAGCTCTTTTGATGAGAAATACAGGCTCTTTCCAGAACCTTATTTACATGCTGGAGGCTAGGGCTCAATAGTGCTGGTTCAATCACTTGAAAAACCTTATTTTTGATGAACTTTCAGGTATAACACGGACCAAAAAAATGAGAAACAACACAGGTATTATACAAACTATCAACTAGCCCCATATTGCAGCCTTAGTAGCTTCGAAAACCCACTGCAAGGCTAAATATGACAGATAGGAGAAAAGAGAAAAATAATGGAAAGTGATTTCAGGCCATGCTGAGAGGCCCACCTGACTGTAAATGACTATTTAGGACAATTTTAATGGGTCCATGGTGTTGCCATTTGTTCCTTGTGTTCGTGGTCGTGCATTTTCCAGTCTTAAAATGTAATAACACCACCTAGCCCAATTATGCGTGCTACAGCATCCCCTAGTTTATGCAACAGTGTATTCAGCACGTGTGTAATGAAAAACTGTTAGAGTTTTCACTGTATTTTCAGTCACCGTAGCCAGGACAGATCTATGTGAAACTCTAGGTTCTCCGGCTCATACATTAAGTTAAGCAGTCTCTGAGCCTGTGACATGCTTGCACCATCTGCTAGGTCAGGAACAAAAATTTTTTTTTATTGAACTCTACTTAATATAGCCAGCAGAAGTTTGATTTGTTATAGCATAAGGGCTCTAAACCAAGGAACAAGAAACAAAAGAGAGGGAATACAAGTACTTATAGATAATTAGTAGGTTACACATAAATAAAAATAATTATAGAAAAATGGAGAACCATATGTTAAAAAAACATCTACAAACTCCAGCTAGACAATTATTTCAGGTACACTTCTAAATAGTCTATTTCAGCTTTGTGCAAAGCTATTGAAGGTAAAAGTGTCATCCTATTTTTTTAACAAAAAAAAACTTTATCACGTTCACATGTTGTTGCTTGATCCTTAAATCTAGCCAGTACCTTCAGCCCAACAATCTGTTAGACATTTAACCCCGCTGTTTAGTTCAGAAGAGTGAAGTTGTTCTAATCTTTGCTAGACACTAAATGGCATATCACAACCTTCATTGTTGAGACAGCTATTGCTCAATCTTTGGCAGAATAGCTCAAGCTTTGACCTAGTAAAATGTCATGTAACTGGTGAAATGATTATGTAACACAGAAAACAGTTGCATATTCATAAGAATTTCATGTCTACTGCAGGACGAAGGCTTGTAGAAGATATTCCGATTTGTCCATATTATGCAAGCTGACTGCATGTCATGTCTGTAGCATTGTCAATTTGGCCACTTGATATAACTCATGTTAAAGGTTCTCTGCGTGACTCTTTTTTGAGCATGTGTGTGTTTGTGAGTAGACATATCTTTTTGTACATGTGATCATTTTATACATCACGGTAATCACCTGACACCAGAAGTAGCAAGCTAGGCAACCAAGTAAATATTTCAGAGACTCTTAATAAACATTGCTATATCTCTGTCTCCACCTATCTGGTAAATATACTACAGTTCCACATAGGTAGCACCTAAATCATACAACAGGCCGCAAAGTGTGCTGCAAGCATGGCTGCTGCCGTCAGATTTCACACAGAAAACTTTAAGAGGTTGCACCTGCTATGATCGTGCAGAAAGCAAATGTTTAGAAATATTTGTCCAGTTTGTTATACTCTCTTTTTAACTTACTCAATCGGTGAAGCACTGTTGTATCTGCAATTTGTCAAACGACACCACCTGTAAATTCAACGCAGACCACGTGTACGGTTCACCATCAGTTAAGTACGAGTAGGAATAGCGAAATCAGCACATTTCTTACCGGGCTCAACACCGTCCCCCACTGTAAACTCCGCGTAGGCTGCCAGGGCATCTTCTTTCCTGTCGTCGATGCGACGTTTTGCTGGCGAACGGGCGACCGAGTTTCCTTTGGCTCTTTTAATGCCGTCGCATTCAGCGAGCTTTCGTATGGTTGATGGCTGTGGCATGTAGCCGCACTCGTCCGCATTGTCAGTCGCTTGCTGCAGAAGGTCCTCCAGCTCGGACTGCTCCTCTTCTCTGCCGGAACTATTGTGGAGCCAGTAATCACAATTTTCGTCAATGGGAAAGAACAGTACATAATAAAGTCCAACACGAGACGCACTTACCTCTCAAGTTTCTTCTTCTGATCACCCGAAAAACGCAGGAGGATTAAGTTAAGCCTTTCCCTGACACTGCGAATGCTAAAGCACCTGCCAAGCAGCTCGGAGAGCCGATCGGCTATCTTCAGCCACCTCGCAGGGTCAAGGAAAGGATTACATTTAATCCTATCCTTTTAATCCCTCCTTTACCCCCACCCCTCGTGAGCTACTACTGTTGAGGTGTCCTTCCCCTGAGAGACAGTTACGGCGCTCAGTTTTCTGTTCTTTTCATTTAAAATCACACACACACACTACCTCATTTCACATGAAAATAACAAGCATCACATAAGTTCTCCTTTGATACAGGCGTCATGTAGCTTTAACGCTAAAAGTGGTCTAAGTTTTGGTTGCGTTTTACGGCAGTCTGATAAGCATTACATTTGTATTCCTATACTTCAGTAAGCTATATTCAAGTGTTGTTGAGCCAGGACGAATTTGCAAATGGAAAGTTAGGTGCGATATTCACATCAACGCACCGTAAAGTGCATTTCAGTTTGATAACGCTGATGTCCGTGCTCTAAAGCGACTCGTGACGTTACGAAATACCTTTAGTTACCCTTTAAACCCCAATGTAGCCGATGTCTGTAGTGAAACCACGAAATTCACACAACTGCTACACTTAGGAAAGCGCGTAGGTTCACCTCCTAACCACCCCGTTGAAACCCGTTATCGAAACGAGACCAAGTCCATAATACCGAATTCCACCTCTCTGTCATGAACAGGCGGCTTCCTTAAACCACATTCTTTTCCAACCCCCTGCTCTTTGAGAAGGGCTTCAAAAGAGGTTATATCGAGCGCCTTCTAATATTTTTTCCGGGGCCCTCCACTTCGGCGTATCTCATAATCTTAAGGTAGTTTTGGGACGTTAAACCCCACATATCAACATATCTTCTAATAGTTCATTCTAATTATTATTATTGTTGCGGTTATATAGTATACTAGGACACTGAACTCAAATGTATTTGTTACGTATGAAAGGCAGTACAAAAGCGGGCCATGGAGCTTTAGTGCAATTTTGTTTGTCCGAACGCAAGCGCGAAAAGGTGAAGTAATTATAATGTCAATAACTGATAAAAATAGCGCAAAATGGGCCACCTTCAACGAAATCGCGCTAACACACTCCCAAAAACAATGAACGCACGAAAAAGAACGGACTTCATACGTGCGCAAAGAACAAAACGAAAGCTCGGTGCTTGCTCCCCTCCCTCTTTTGATTAATACTTATCAATCAGTAACTACGAAAGTGTTCGATGAGTATGCATGCCCATTATCACACCCAGTCTAGTCAATACTGGATAGCACATGCGAAACCATGCAATGCCCCTAGAACAAAATGTGAGGATGTAGCATGAAAGAAGCGTGAGAGGTTGTTAACCCTCTGGCGCACATCTGCCGACAGTTAGCGACAACAATGGCACAAATGCGCGGCTGACGCCCGTGTGACCCACCTAGGCACGCCATTACATATTTTTTTTTCCGCCTCCGCGATCCTTCGTAGATCCTCTTCAGTCCGTTCGCAGAGGGCGACCACGGAAAGACGGTGGGTGATTTTGGCCCGATACGAAACGATGCGACGAGCCCTTTAATCCTCTACAACCTTGGCGGATCCGTGCTGGACAACTTCCCGGTTCTGACGAGCACTGTCGGCGCCAACAAAGTATAGCTCGGGTTGAGCAGTGCAGCCAGCCAGCGTAGCGCACACGCTGGTAACGCGCGATGCCGCTGGGCTCGCGAACAGCGCGGAAGCAGCGCGTGTGTCGCTACCTCGCGGAAGCGACGGCACCTATTGTATGCAGAAAAATGCCTCCGTGATGGCTGTGTGGCCTGAATCTCAAAGGCCATGCCGCGGACGACGCTAACCGTGTCTCTTCCGAGAAAACTTCGCTCGGGTCTGCAGGCGCTCATCGCCGCGAACTTTGTATTTTCGTGAAGCGGGGCGAATTTTTTTTAATAAAGATGGGGAAAAAGCGAAGAGTCAATTACTTTTCGTTCCAGAAGTCACCAGCGTCTGTGCGCGGAAGGACGTTTTCCATCACTGCGTCCCAGTCGTGGTACCAGCAGTTTCAGCGAACAGCTTCTCAAAGTTTTCTAGGTAAACATGTAATCGTCGTCACAAGTTGACAACAATAAAGGTGTCGAGGCGGTCGAGGAGGTTGACAACACTGAGGTAAGGTTCATGTGACCTTAAACAGTAAGACGTACCCATTTTTGAGGTCTCAGGAACGGTTAACGCAACTATCTCCATGCAGTTGGTGAGGGGAGAAATAAACGCGCTGCAACAAACGCCGTCCATGTCAGCCGAAAACTGTGACCCCGAAGGTAGGTTACCGCGTAGTTTATTATGTATGAACGAGTGTTCTTATTATTTTGCCTTACTTTTGCAGCTAAAGAACAAGCAACACCCGAAACCATTCCAGCCAGCGGCTGTGAGTTGGCGGGCGAACGTAAGTGACCCAACGTATGAACTCTGCTCCATTTCAAGTAAGATGAATGAGGCTGGCTAAGTACATGAGTACATCGCATTGCAGCATAATACTACAGGCTCACATAATTACTAACTTTCAAGGGACACACTTGCAAATTTTCATGAGCATGGGTTGGCAAAATTTATGGAGCTCACTCAGCCTCGCTGATGGAAAAAATCGGGCAAATCCCACGTACCTTGGAAATCGATGTTATACGAAGCGTGCGGATTGTAGGTGACTGTGTTGTATTTTTTTTTGCATTGAGCAAAACGTCGTGAAGTGGCGCTGGATATTTATTTATTTATTTATTTATTTATTTATTTATTTATTTATTTATTTATTTATTTATTATTTATTACAGTACTGCTGGTCTGATCTTCAGACCTTAGGCAAGAGTGGGTACAAATGAGTACAAAAAAAAGGTTACAATAAACATATATGATGCATTGCGGTGATAATAACAGCAAAAGAAGAAGAGTAGAACGAGTTCATAGAAGCACAGCAGCAAGATATTTAAATAACTAGTAAAAACATGAATACGTAAACATATGGAAGAAAAAAAGCGTCAGGGTTCATGTGAAACTATGTCAGAGCTATGTCCTATGGACTGAAGGGCCTGTAGATAGGATGATAGCGAAGGGCATTCCACCACTGCTCAAGGGAGGGAATTCCAATTGATTGCAGTTCTCGGGAAAAAAGAATACTGGAAAATGTATGTGTGACTAGAGACCTCGCTTACATTTTTATTATGAAGGGACCCAGTAGGCCGCAGGTGGGAGACTTTTAGATATGTATCCTTTTTTATACCTAAGTGTTCATGATAAAAAGGTAAAATAGTTTCATTCGTTCACGGTATCGGCGATTTGCTAATTTTTCCAGTTCAGCCGTTTCTAGAAGAGATAATACTGATGCCTCCCAGCTGTATTGATTAAAGATGAACCTAACAGATTTCCGCTGTATTTTTTTTCAATATTGAATTGTGTCTTTTTGTGTATGGATCCCAAACAGCGGCACAATATTCCAGGAGTGGCCGAATAAATGTTTTAAAGGCTAATTTTTTAACTTCTGGAAAGTACTTACTCAAGCGCCTCCTTAAGTATCCGAGTTTTTTCATTGCCTTTCTATGTATGTTGTCAATGTGGTCATTTCATTTAAAATCGTTAGAAATGATAACTCCCAGATACTTATATTTAGTTACTACTTCCAGAGGTTGATTATCAAAACAGTAATAAAACGTTATAGGGTGCTTTTTGCGACTAATTGTCATTGCGACTGTTTTCTTTTTGTGGATGGTCATTTGACAGTCTGCGCACCATGTTTGAATTCGGTCCAAAGATTTATTTATTGTTCTCTGGTCGTGGGGTGTGGTAATTTCACGGTATATAATACAATCATCAGCAAACAGCCTTATTTTAACGGGTATGTTCCGAACGATATCATTGATGTATACAAGAAAAAATAAACGACCAAGAACAGAGCCTTGCGGGATACCCGAAAGGACTGGAATGGCACGCGAAGTTTCATTATCAATGGCCAAGTGCAGACACAGGCATACGTAACGATGCCTACGGCAACATAAATAGCAACATCAGAAGTAGTAAGCTGATATGAAGCGCTGGTGCTCGTGAATGTAAGGTAAGCCGGACTCACTCAGACTCACGAAAATCGAAAGAAACTACCTAATCATAGGTTCCTCAAGCTAATCTACAGCTTCCTCACTGGATTATTCTTTTTCTTTTGCAGAGCTTCGCTGCTTCAAATGTTACTTAATTTAACCTACCTAATCCGGTAATTAAGAAGCACACAAACGCAGTTGAAAGTATTTCATGAAAAAGTAGTCAACCTGTGTTTGGATGCGCCAATATGCCCCATAGGTTTTGTTTTTTCAGGCATTGACAGTGTGATTGCAATGTTGCGCATACTTTAAAATTAGTGGTTCAATTTCTTTGGCGTTTACATGCGAAATCATGCCTCCTGAAGAACTGCAAAATTATGGCACAGTCAGGTTTAAATTCGAAAGACAAGATGAACGTCAGTTACCGCAAAAGATCGAAACGTTTTAAACGCATGATTTTCTCACTGATTAAGAAACGGGTGCCCATCAACACTTCTGAGTGCATGCAGCAGTATAGAGCGCTCAGCTAGTGCATTTATTTATTTATTTATTCAAAATGTGTTTTATAATGATGAAAACGCAACATGACATCTCATCGTCGTGAGCTTGAATTCACATTATTAGGCAGCTCTAAAACAGGGATCGTAGGCAAAGTTGCAGGTGAAAATGGATTTAAAGAACAGCCGGAAAGTCACGGCGCAGTTGGATTTTCGTTCAAGAGACAAGATAAGCGTAAGCTACCTAAAAACATAGAAACTTTCTAACCGCGTGATTTCGACTCTGATTACAAAATGGATGCCCATCGACTTCTGAGTACCTGCTGCAGTAAAACAATTAGCAAAGGAATTTATGTCTTTATTTTTATTCGAAATTGTCCTTTATCGTAATGAAAATTTTTAATGACAGCTTGCTATCGTGAACTTGAATTCACATTATTAGGCAGCGGAACATGCAGGTATTGAGTGCCCAGCCCACGCATTGTTTTCGGATAATTACACGCGAGGTTATCGTGTGATTGCGACCAGCTGCATTATCGGCGCCGGGGTCTGATGCATGTGCGGTAGCAATAAAAGCAAACACAGCCCATGGCTTCTCTGACCAGGCGACTACCGTGCAGTCGAGGGGGGCTACACGGATATAAAAGGCTCAATTTAATGCACGTATTGTGTTATTCAGCAGTAGTCTCTTACAGAACACACCTTGAGACCTTCCACGCTTTCATGTCTAAGTGGTCCACCGTAATACCGTATCTCTTTTACCTCTCCCTCTCTCTCTTTGTCCCTGTTTCCTGAGAACGAGCCCAAAGAACCTGCAGATTCTCCCGCTAATGATGGCTTTACACAGTTCACGAGTAAACATAAGTCACCCTACAAATGGTGTTTGTATGTATGTGTCTGTGGCGTTCATAATAATAATAATAATTTATTCATTTATTTATTTCTCATGAATACATATGACCTTGGTGGAAGGTGTGAGAGGAAAAGCGAAGAACGCTATAGGTCTCACACCTTTTACAGTGGGCAGCAGCTGGAAACATCACTATATTGCATCTGTGTTCACAAGAGAGCAACAGAAAATAGAAAGAAACTTAATGAGGTAACCTCCGTATTCAGAAGCGGCCCTTGAATTGAACTTTGCACCGTCTCAAAGCAGCGTGTTTAAAAACACGCTTGTGTTGCATTGAAGGGGTGACAAGTAAGGGAGCGGTTCGGGTGCAAGCACGCGTACTTTAAACATTTTCGCTCGTCACTCAAAATGGGGCCGCCGCGGCCGGGATTCGCTCCCGCGACCTGCGGGTTAACAGTTGAACACCATAACCACTAGACTGCGTGCGTGTGTGGATGCGCTCATTCACAGTTCCATCACTCTTTGCCGTGGACGGTAGAATATTTCCAGGGGAGGGTTGGGGGGGGGGGGGGGGTCAGTGTACAGTCTGATACATAGAGCTGAGCGTGGGGCCTGAACACTTCGACTCAGCCCATACATCGAAATATCACCAAAGAACATTTATACTGGGCGTGATCACAAATACAATGTGAATAACTTGTATATCTTTTCCCATTCGCCCCATGTTACTGTGTTAAATAAGCTGGACGATCGAAGGATCACGTAACATTCGCAAATGCCTCCATTTTTCTATGCAGGTCTTGGTGGAAGTATGCGCGTAATGGCCGAGAAGATGGTGCAGGACACGGCCAAGCTTTTGCAGAATACCGAAAACCTCGTTCGTCGAGCATCAGCACTTCGCGACGATCTCTTGCGACGCAACGAGCAGCAGAAGCAAAAGATCGACACCCTCAAAAGCATGCTCCTTAATAATCTGAAGAAGTACTGGAAAGATGGCGAGTAGCTGAGTCGACACTGACAGCAGACAGCGTAGCATGTGAACACGTGAAGCAGGGATAGCCTATTTGAAGGACTCGCTCCGTGCTATATTTCATCGATGACACATGTGCTCACTATCACGTCTTAGTTATATACTTCTTTTTGTGATAAGTGTATCACATCACAAATCTTCTAGCAAGTGAACATGCTAGCTTTTTATTATATGTGTGTTGTATTTATCTTGAATCATTTGTTATTAATGAAGAAGTCATACTACGGGTTCCACGTCAACACAACCAACACAATCCAGTTTGGTATGTATGTACATATGAATTTAATTTACATCTAAAGCAACTGTTTCTAAGGTACGTACCCATTGTGAAATGTTTGATGTAGTTTTAGCGAACTTCGCGTTATGAACTCTTTTAATACTACAAATATATGTAGCGCAAATATTAATACGTACACGAGAAACACGATAGACGAGCGCTACTACCATTGGCGTAGCCAGGTGGGGGAGAAAGTGTGTGTTAATTGACAGTTGTGGTGCGCAGGAGAATAGCACCATCTAAATCACCCGTGATCTCTCCCAAATTATCCCCCCTTAAATCATCGTACGTCAGACTAG